AAAAATAGGAGCGCCAGAGAATGCGAACGACCATAATATTATGTGCTTAGAAGGTTTAGCTCTCTCTACCATTTATTTTTTTCGCGCTATTTTTCGCTCTCTCTCTCCCACTCTATTTCTCGCCCGCGGCACTCGCTCTCTCTCTCTCTCTCTCTCTCTATTTCTCTCCGTCACAGGCACTCTGTCTCTCGGCATCTACAGGTCCCTGAAAGCTTTAACTCAATTTCTCTCTATCTTCATCTTTCTGCAAATTCATCATCTTCTTCCCCTTCTTTTCCTTCAATATTTTCGTATTATCATACTTTTTCTTATTATAACTTTTCTTTTTTCTTTTTTTCGGTTTTTTTCTTCATCTTTTCTTTCTTTTTTATCATCAACGTCAATTTTCTTATTCCTTATCTTTTCTTTCCTCTTCTTCATCATCTACAACTTCTATTTCATTTCTCTGTTCTGATTTGTATTCTTCTTCTTCATCTTTTGTTTCATTCTACTCTTCTTCCTTATCTTTTGGTTTAGTTATTCTTTGTATTTTTCTTATTCTTTTTTTTTTCTATTCGTCTTATTCTTCAGTCTCCAATTTTAAGACTTTTGTCTTCTTTTTCTGCCCCAAATTTTTCATCTTATTTCCCATAATTTCCTTCTTCTTCTTCATCATCTTTGACTTGTACTTTTTTTCTTCATCTTCTTTTTTCTCTGATTTCCTTTTGCTTCATCATCATCTTTGACTTGTACTGTTTTTCTCTTCTTCCTCTTATATATCTTTTGATTTTCTTATTCCTCGTATTTTTATTCATCTTCTTCATTGCATTTGACTTCTTCTTCATCATCTTTGTCTTCTCTCAGTTTTTCTTCTTCTTTTTTTAAATTTTTATTAGCCTTCTTTCTCTACTTCTTATTCCTCTTTGGTCTTCATCAAACTCTTTTTTTCTTGTTTTTCTTCATCTTTTTCTCATTTTCACCTACTTTATTTCCTCTTCTTTTACTTTGTTTTTTTCATCTTTCATTTTTTTTCCGATTTTCTTCTTTAACTCCAACATCTATTTTTTTTATCCTTATTCTTCTTCACTATTTTTTGTTCTCATTTGCTTTTTATTCTTCTCCATGGTTTTATTCAAATTCGTCTTTTTTGAGATCTTATATCATCAACTATGTCTTATTCTTAATACTTTTACTTTCTAAATTATAGAATTATAGGTGAATAAAAGTAGGAGCAATATATATGATTTATTACGAAAACTATTAGTACAACTTTTATAACAATTATGAATGGGTAAAAATAATAACAATATATAAATTATTAATTAGCAAAAACTAATTAAAAAATTGTTTAATCGTTTATTTTTATTGATGATTATTAAATTTAAAAGGTACATTAGGGAAAATAATTAAAATCCAAACACAACGAAAAATCTATAAAAATTGTTAAAATAAGATAATTAAGGAAAAAAAGAATCAAAGACATTGCAAAGAATTGAGAAAACTTATACTAACAAACATTTAATGGATCTCCAAATACGAAAGAGATTCATCATTGAACCTGCAATGTACATCATTTGAAGAGAGGAGAAAAAACCCATAGACTTGCCTCATAGAAAGTTTCGACATATTCGGTATCATCGTGAATTAAACCCAAAGCATAACATGACTTTGAAAGTAGGGTGGACAACACCATTAATTGTTCTTATATTTATATAAAAACATGGATCCCGAACGACATGCAATAAAACCCTCAAGAAGTAGGCTTCACCAGCGTTAGGGTTACAGTTGGCTATAATACTCTGTCTGGAGTTGCCGAAAAGACGGGGATGCCATTGACGTTTTTACGATCCCTAATCCAATGGGTAAGAAATTTAGAATACATATATGATATTACTTCAGGATAAACCTAATTAAACTTCAGCCAACCTGTAAATTTCTCGTTGTAAACATCAGCAGAAAAATGTTCTTCTTCTGCAAAAGCGATTTGAGATGGAGACAGATGATATGGCAAAATCTAAGGATCACGAAGGGGACCATTACTAATCTCTACATAAAATTCATAAATTTTTTGAAGGAAAGAACTATTAGGCAACAGATTTACATAAGAAGAACGTCTAAAAGCAGAAAAAAACAGTTAAAGCACTACAAAAAAAATTAAACCTGACGATTCTATTGTAAGGCGAGAGATGAAATATTCAATCAGAAAATTATGAACTATAAAAAAATAGTAGGTTATCATTACGGAAATGCATAAATAATAGTATATATTGATTTTTTAAAAAAACTTGGATAAATTTTTTTTTTTAAATGCTAGACCTTAGAAAACGTACGTTGTATGTAAGAAAACATAAAAACCGAGAGAAGTATATATAGAATGGATACGTTAGATTTAGGTTAGTACCGACTTTGATATCGGTGGTCCATAACCAAAATCAGTGGTTAACTAAAACGCTACATAATGATCAACCCTTCGTCGAAAAAAAAAAAATTAATGATCAACCTATCAAAATTAACTAAAACGTCACATAATTTTTTTTGATAATGACATGTAGAATAATCGATGTGGAGACAACACATCAAATTTTTGGCCATGTCACAGATATTTACACGTAGGATTAATGATCAACCTATCATAATTAATAAAAACGACATATATTTTTTTTAATAATGACACATAAGCAAATCGCTCTGGAGACGACACCTAAGATTTTTGACTTCGCAAATAATAGTATAGATAGATTTTCACGTTTATTGTCACATTACATTATATTATTCATTTCCTTGAAGCTTCCTTAAAGTCAAATCATTTGTATATTAACATATAGAAATCAGATTCACAAATCTGATCTAGAGCTGTAAGTTGTCCTTATCTTCCACAGTTAACACTTAAATACTAATCATGAGTTTCTGTAACTTGTGCTTTTTAAAATGATCTTCGAACCATGATAAATAAAAGGGGCTACAAAGTCTTAAAGCCAGATTCTTTTCAACTTACAGCCCAATAATAAATGTAAACTAGATTCTACACATGTGCGTCTGCATATAAATTATTTTTAATCATGTTTATAGTATAATTTGTATTTATTTTTATGTTTAGATATAATTTCTTTCTATAGATTTATGTTTTTTTAAATCAAATTTTTTTATATAAATAAAATAAGAGTATGAGTTATTTAAGCGTATATCGATATTGTAACATCCCTATCTCGGACTCCTAAGAGGCGGGGAACCAGGAATGTTAGATCGGCCATCAAACCGGATCCGTAGGATGTCCAATTTGGTGAGCACACAGGATCGCCAGGAAAACGCCCAGATAATAATCAACAACATAGACTTAGACTGATCTATGAACTACACCTGAAAAGACAAGGGAAGAGGAGGGGTGAGTAATGGGGATTACTCAGTGAGAATGAGTCTTAAGGAGGCCCACAACATCATCAAACTAGCATAAATTGATTTTAAGAGACCTAATCCTAAAACAAGCCCACACAATATATATATATATATATATATATAGACAGTTCATTTCTAACAATCATTCACACAACATACAAGGATATCCCTACAAGCAACTACACAAAAAATGGGTCCCTGGTCAACACCAGTAACAAGTGAGCAGCCACGTGGGGCCCCCATGCCTCCCCGACAAGGCAAACTAGAATAATCTCATCCAATGTCTGGCCTATTACTATACTCATTAGTTAGGTTTACTATGCCAATCACTCAGACTGATCCACAGCAATCACCTAAAACAGGCTGAGAACAACAGTCACTCAGACAGCTGTTCAAAGCGGTCACCCAGAAAGCTGTACCCAGCGGTCCCTCGGACAGGCTGATAATTCAAACAGTGGATCGCTCATCCACTCCAGCGTTTGCCCCTGTCGTGCGTTCACGACAGCGCATGCCAGCAAACAACACTGACTCCCTACACCAGGACCCAGGGGTCCTAACAAATATCTACTATGCACAAATCATCCATTTCATACAACCATTCAATCCAATCTTTTCTTAAAGGCCCTTCCATTATTAAGATGCACTTTCAGTGATACCAAGTTGTAACAAAAAGGAGCATTAATCAGGTTAACATCACACAATCGATATTTTAAAGTCTAAATAAGTTTAGATCCATGTTCAGGTTAATTATCTCATTCAACCAGCAACCAGCAATCATCAACAAACAGGCAACATGGATCCAGGTCCTAACAATTCTAACAACCCTAACAAGCAGCTCTAAGCCTGATCTAAGAAAAGACCACTTAAAATTCAATCATACATATGTAAGAGAGGATGAAGCCACAAAGTCCTCACCTTGGCTTTGAAGGCTGAGAAACCGGAGGAGGAGGCAAAGGAGAAGGAGATCTAAGAGGAGATGCATCAGAATCAGATCCCATCTCAACCAAAGGAGAAGGAGGCAGCGCAGACATCTTGGCTGGACAAGGAAGCTTCGGAAGAGAGAGACTTGGAGGATGGTGGTGGCTGCGGCAAGGAGAGAGAGACACGGCCAGGAGAGAGAAAGAAGAAGAAGAAAACGAAGGGAGAGAGAGGAGGAGAGCAGCTCGGCGCAGAGAAGAGAGAAAGAGAGAACAAAAAGGTGGTTAGGATTTGTTTAGGAGCTTAATGAGGGTTTTAGAGATTTAATTAGGTATTTATATGAAGGTTTAATAGTGGGTTGGGTTTAATGGGCTCTTAAAAAGAAATTAGGAAATGTCCAAATAAAAAAAAAAGAAAATAGAGATAGTTTAATTTAATTAAACCAGAATTAAAAAACTGGTAACATCCGATCTTTGGTTAACCAAGAGTCGGGATGTTACAATCTTCCCTCCTTACACAGGATTCGTCCCCGAATCCTAAGAGAAAAGTTCCTGAAAGAAAATTCGAAGGCTAAGACCAAGAGAAATGAAAGCACAAGGGAGAAGAGGAGCTTGGTCGCAGAAGGAAAAAAGGAAATCAGAAATGAACTCAGGAAATGGAAGCAGGAAATGAAATGGATCTAGAAGGGAAAATCGGAAATGGAATCAGATGGAAAAGCAGAAATAAATTTTCAGGAAATCACAAGGAATTACGACACCAGAAACGATAATGGCTAAGAAAGAAGAAGCAGAAGGGCAGCCTTAAGGCACATGGCACCAAAAAGGAATTGAAGGCTAAGAGTTTAGAAAGCAGAGTGATCAGCAGAATCGTGTAGGAGGGAGAGTTTAAGGTATAATGCAATTTAAAACACTTTAGGAATAAATCAAAAACCTTTTTCTTATTAATTTAAAATGAGGAGTAGAACATATAGTTTTTAAAATATAAAATACTAGGAACACCAATAAAGAATTTTAGCTAAGTCCTAATAACTAGATCCTAAAGCAATCAATAAATCAAATAGAATGGAATAAATAAAAAATAAGTAGTTCTACTCCTGAAAACAATTTTTCCTAATCACTATCAGCATCTTCAGGAAGATCATCTTCAGAGGGGTCTTCTTCGGAAGGATCTTCATCTTCCTCCATTTCGCTGTCTGAAGAGATGTAGACAGGGCCTCCAGTCTGAAAAGATCTCACTACCCACAAGGCTCTGTTGTAGATTTCCCTTACACGACTTCCTATGCCCCTATCCATCTCTCTGATCCTTGCCCTGAAGTTGGAATGCAGACCTTGGAAGAAGAAGTTAGCAAACTCCTGAGCAGTGTAGGCCTGGGGTGCATGCTCCATTGCATTAACAAAGTCTTGATGGTACTCCTGAAGCGTCCTGTCTGCCTGGATGGCAAACCCTCTCCACCCACCAAGTGGGTTCACCGGGGGAGCTCCTGGTGCTGCTGAGGTCTTCTGGCATATCATGCTCCACCATTTGCTGAACAGATGGCTTGGTCTCAGAAGGAGGCGCAGGAACATGACTAGGCTGCTGCAGAGTAGGAGCAGAAGGGGCTCTCCTAGCCTGGCTCAGTCCACTCGTAGATGCCTCTTGCACCTCATTACATCTCCAAGGATTTTACTGTAGGGTCACTGACGCGTGTCGTGGTGAGGGTGTCAAGTTTTACCCTAAATGAAATTAATAGCTGAAAGTGCACAGCTGATCGATTGTAGTACTTAGGGATCGAATCCACAGGGAAGGAGGATCTTTCTTGCAAAAGCCTTCGAAAGAAATATAAAGTAAGGAAGTCTAGAACCAGGCGAGTTTTGTGAGGGTTTTGGTGGTGTGTTTAAAACGTAAAAACGAATCTTAAAGAGAAAATACGATAGTTAAAATGACCTAATAACTAAACTTAACGAAAACGAGTAAAAACGAGAAAATGGCTAGACCTAATTGCTTATATGAAAATCGATTGAAAGAGTAAAGAAACTAGACTAAAGCTTGAATGAAAATCGGTGTGAATCTATAAGAAAGAAAGCGCTGGGGTTCAGGGAAGTTTTCTCAGGGGTATGAACGATTCAAAACACTGCTAGAGAGTAAATTTGATAAGATCTTAGCTTAAACTTTTCGAACTGGAGTCACGGACGTATGAATACGCCACTGTCGTGATCATAGACAACTGTCTCTCTCAACCCTGACCAGTAGGTTTCCACTCTGGCCCTGGAAAAGAAGAGATGCATTATATTTAAGACTCGTCAGCATCGCCCATAGGTAGGTTTCCACTCCTATGTTTGTTTTGCTCTCCCAAACTAGATCTGACACCGGATGAACACTTTCGTGTCACCAAGCATCTGGATCAGATTGTAGTCCATGACGCTACTCTCATGTAGTAAAAACGAATTCAGAAGAAAAAGTTCTAAGATTCAGCTCAATAGCCAATGGAATCCTCACCGAACATATATATCCCCATCGAAAATCCCTTAGACCCAACAATAAAACTACTCAGACATGATAAACGAAATCAAAAACATAGTATTAAAAAGTAGAACAAAAACCGAAATTGAAAAAGAAAGAACAAGGGTTCAAGAGATAGATCTCTCTCTCCCTAAAACCTAAAAACAAAGCTTAAAGTAAAATTTCTGTAAAGTATTTCGTCTTTCTTCTTCTCTCTTAAAAACGACCTAAATGACATGTATTTATAGTCTCCAATGTTCTCTGGTGTCTAAGGTTCCGGAATTGAGGCTGGGAAAATGATACGGGCTTCAGAAATGGGCCTTCAAACTCGGAGTTAGCTGGCCGCGGTCGGGAAGTGCCTGACCGCGGTGAATGGGTGGCTGGCTGTGGTCAGGATGGTTGTGACCGTGGGCAATGACCTGTTGGCCGCGGGTGGAAACGCTTGCCGGCTGGTTTACGGGACATCTTGCTCTTCGCGTATCTTTTGATTGAACCGTTGGATTGCCAAATTGTAAAGTGTGCTGGAAAGCTGATACTTCCATCTTTAAGATCTCCAAATTTAAGCTGGATCAGACGGTGAGAAGGCCTTCAACCGGGGGTGAACTTCTGACGGTTTAACTCTGAGCTAAAAATCTGGTCTTCTATCCATTTTGTTAAGCTTTTCCCTAAGTTTCCTGAAAAGAGTCTTGGAACTACAAATACTAGAAAAACGTAATAAAAGTACTTTAAAGCAATTAAAACATAGAAAAAATATTTCAAAACGATCCATAAAAGTGGTCAAAATACGGTGTTATCAACTCCCCCAGACTTCAACCTTTGTTTGTCCTCAAACAAAACAAAGCAAAAGTCTAAACTGGTTAAGTGAAAACAAAAATAGGGAATGCACAAATCTCAGAGACATGAACTCCTAAATTAGGACCAAAGATCGTGCATCAATCCACAACTTAGTCTAGAAAATTCTCACCAATACACAAAAGATACTAGTCCACTTTTTTCCGTCATGCAAAACTTAAACAATCTAAATCTTGATTCCAGTCAACTAGATCTCTACATTCATTAAGTTCAATAGTGAGTTCTCATTAAAGACATCATCCAGGGTAGACGGCGTTTGGCATTAAATGGCTGTTTAAGTGGTGGAGTTAAAATGTTTTGGGTTACCTGATGAATCTGGAGGATGCAAGATAATATGCAAAACCGCAAGAGAGATAAGGACCTGTTGATGACCGCAATTTTCAGTCACTTCTTCTTGTCAAATGTTGTTGCATAATCCTTCTTCCTTTGTTGTAAACAATTATTCCCCCAGACTTAGATTCTTTCTGGGAATCAGAAAATGATCTCCAAAACTCCATAAAATCGAACTCCAGTTGCCTTGGGCTTAAAATTCGACTTCTCTAGACTCTCTAAGGCTTTTATTTCCTTTCTTTTCTTATTTTCGGAATTTTTTGTTTTTTTTTTCAAACGATAAGGAAATGCCTTTTAAAGAGAGAGAGACTAGAGGACGAGATTGTACCAAAATTTGAGTTTTTTCTAAGGCAAACTGAGCTTCCTCTTGTGTTGAATCATTTCGGGAACTTTTCCGGCAAATCGCAGGTCTCTGTCTTTGGTGACTGAAAACTGCGTCGTCCGTTTTTGCACTTATCTGCATATAAGACAATAGAAAACAAGAGTGCATGTGGTTTGAAAGAGGATTTCTTAAGGTGGGGAACTAGCTAAAGATGAACTAGGCATTCAGGATCAACAGAGAGTGGTAAAAAGGGTAAAGGAGTCCTGAATGTATGATTCGTTTCCCTGGTCTAATGCTTCAATGAGAAAATTAAGTCCAAATTAAGTCCAAATAAAACAGAGCTACAGTATTCCTTCATCTAAATCGAAATCATTCAAATTCTTCTGGGGTACTTCGTTTCAAATGTGCTTAGCTACCGCCTAGTCTAGTCCTAAATCATGAATGAGCATGTCACTAGGAACAGTCTAAAAGCACACCGTCAACTATCATTGATTCATGTTCACCATTCCCTTTAAAACGCATTTTGTTTTGAAAACCGGTTTTGAAAAACTTTAAGGAAAATGCAAAAAATGTAGATAATGCAAGACTCATGAAAGAAAAGTGGTTAGAAAGCGATGAAATCCTCCCCCAGACTTAAATCACACTGTTCTCAGTGTGAAACAAGTCGAGATTGGATGAGAAAAATGCATAGATAATCGAATTGGTAAGGCCAAAGAGAACTTACCTGGATCCGGGATGCTGGTGGTGATGGACCGGATACATTCGAAGAGCTTTGGGAAGGTGATAGGTGGTGATGAAGGTGGTCGGAAGTGATGAATGAGGTGGAATGGGGATTGGTGAGGTGGAATAAGGTGAAGTGGGTGGTTTGGATCGGGTTTTGTCTCAACGACCATCTGCCGCGGTCAGGAGCCACGCGACCGCGGCAAACCGGTGCTCGGCCGCGGTCAGAAAGACGCGGCCGTGGTCGAAGGGCTGTTTCCCGCGGTCAGAACACCTGCGACCTCGGGGGCTTATATCGCTGCCTGTTTCCTGCTTTTCCTTGGTTCCTGCTGGGCCGAGCAGTCAGGGACCATCCTTCTTTTTGGTCTTTTCGGTTTTTTTTTTTTTTGGCTTTTTTGTTTTATAAGAAAC